GGGGATGTGATGTGGGGGGGGGGGGGGGGCACAGAAGGTGAACCTCTATAAATGAATTTGGAGGCAGAAGTTAATAAACTAAGGTGACCAGTGCAAATTTGGAATAGTGTTGTTCCAGGTATGGAGACCAGTCAATCACAGAGATTTACTACTAGACCAAAAAATGAAGAAAAAGGTGAAAAAGAGACCATGAAAGAAGGAGAGTGGGTAGAAGGGACAGGAATCCAGGAAATGCAGAGATCATAATTACTGATAAATTGAGAGTGAGGTGGAAATACTTGAGAATCTATTGAAGGGAAGCAGCATGAAAATAAAAGTGATTTTAACTGTGTATTTACAGCACAAACAGCAAAAGAGGCCAAATAGATTGGAAAGTTCGGAAGTGAAGAGATCAAGCAGCAGGCTTAAACAAACAAAAGAGAATATTTTTCCCTCAAAGCACATAACTCAATTCAGAAACTTGTTGCCACAGGTTATTGTGAAAGCTAAGATGATAAATGTTTTGAAATGGGACAGGACAAGCAGGTGGAAGAAAAATACATTATAGTCCAAAGGAAAGGTGCAGTGGGACCTTTGGTCTTAGACATTGTAGGAGATCTTTTGTTTGAAAGTACATTTCAAAATACTAACGAGGATGTAATTCGGTCTTTCAGTTGCCTTTATTTGCAAAAAACAGCTTGCCCACTTTTTATTCTCCAGAGATATTGAGCTACTGGCTTAATTGCTTTCTACTGTATGTATAATTGTGGCAGCAAGAACTACCTTGCCCATCCACAGCTGCTGATCCATGTTAATTTCCATATTGCTTTGATAGATAATTGATACATGACACACTATAGCTCTGAATATTTCAACTAATTGAATGCGTGTTTTTAGATTGGGAAATCAGGATAATTCACCAAGGTACTTTATTTCAAAGAACTCTGCAAATTATCAGATGATACTGTTTCCATTAAGAAGATGTCTCAATGATGTGGACTTCTGTCACACACTCAGCGTGATGTTGAACTAAGTAATTCAGCAGTGACATCCAGAGCTTACGAGCTACCGCTACATACATAATAGCTGTGTCTTCAGTTTGATTATGATGGACCACCTCCTTTTTCAACTCCAGCTAAATCAATGCAGTTATTACCTAAGCTTTGCAAGTAGAATCTATGTTTTTGGGTTAGGCATCATGAGTTTGACAGTTAGCTCTCTTTACTGATGATTAATGACTAGTATTTGGACAAAGGTAAACAAAAATTCTTAATAAATTAGAAGAGAGTGAAAATTGCCTGGGGCCCATTACCAAAGAAAGGTGTAATATATCTAGCCAGAATGTGCACTTCTAAAGCACTAAGCTCACCAATTAGAATACAGAAATGACAACAGCTACAGGCATTAAAGGCTGTGCCTTTGTTACTGCACGAGACAAATGTTTGAGCAAACTACATGTCTTGCCTTTGTACTGCTGCCTATAAACTCAGACTTTGTTCCCACCCTCCTGCTTCATGAAGTGTTTTCTTGACATTTATTATTAATAATAAAAGTTAAGAAGAATGAAGGTAGCAGCCGTATTGATTCAGCAAAGCAGCATGAGAATATTTAATAGTCCATGCCTTTTATCTAATTCAAATATATTCAATTTCTCTGAAGTCTGATTTCTTTAATTATACTACAAATCTAAAAAGACTTTTTATGTTATCGGATACTAATTATATTAGACAGATTGCCATTCATCTGCTTATAGCAATATTTATTTCCACTGCTATCACTTAACATCAAAACAGTATTACCTCACCACCATTTACAGTGGAAAAAATACTACTTTTCTGTATAATTTTGTGTCTGGGTTGGTCCACTTAAAGGCATGAGACACTCTTTGCTTGGTTTGTATAATTAATATGTGTAAATACTTTGCTTAACCTTAATCTCTAATTATGATAAACTATACCTTCCATTTTTAGGCTGCTCTCTATGCTAAAGCTGTCTAAATCTCCTCCGAGTTAGGATGATAACTTCAGAAATTGAGAGAATTAGTAGACTGAGTCCCACTGAGAGGGGGATTTCACAGTGGAAAAAAGGAATAGAAGCCAGATGAAACTTTTACAACCTTGATAAACAGAAAGACAGAATATCTGTTGAAGTAGAAGTGGAAAAGGGAAAAAAATGTAGAGGAAATCACAGTGTGGATAAGGAAAGAAAAGCTGTAAATCAGGTTGCACTCCCCTGCCTCTGCAGAGGATACCTTCCATTGATTCCTATGCCTTCACACACAAGCCTGCACTGAAAATCTGAACCAGCCATAGTATCTTTCTAAACATGGGCATGTGATTATTCTCTTTTTCCATCACTGCAACTTGTCTGGGCTTGAGGGTTTCCTAGAAAAACTATTTGCTGTTTAGCAACTGTGGAACTGGGCTTCCAGAGGCTCCATTAAAGCAGTGGCTACTAGCACTCAGGGCATTTATGCCTTACTCCTTGCAGAACTGGTAGGTCACTTTTCCTAGACCTTACCTCCTTGAGCTGCAATTTAAACGAATATCTTGTGAAAAGACTCTCCTCATGCAGGTTCATCCCCTCTCCTCTCCCACATCTTTGTCAACGTACCTCCCCTTATGTTAAATCTGGCACGTGCTTGTATTAGGATCCTAACATTCAAGGTGAGAAGGCATACTTATATGGTAAGTCAGCTGTAACAGAAGAGTAGGACAAAAAACCCAAAATAACATCAACACTTTAGGCACCGGGGAAGGGATGAGAAATCAAAGGATGCTCCCAGGTATATTTAGGAATATATAGAAAAAAAATTCCTCTATTAAATGGAAGAATGCATCTCAGAAAATGATAGGTTTGCTAGCCCCCAGAGAGAGAGAGAGAATATTGTCTAATTTTGGGAGGATTATGTTTCGCTAGAGACATTTGCAAATGTAATGAGATAAAGAAGGGGTAAGACACCTCTTAAATTGATCTATACAACTGATTGCGCCACACTTGATAAAATAATTGTGTCAGTCTCTTCTGTACTTAAAATAAACTTAATTCTGAAACGCAGTAAGTTGTTAAGCACTAAACATCATCACATATTCTGTCACACTACTCTCATTGTTTCAGAAACCTCGGAAGCACCTGACATTTACCTTCTCTAGTTCTAACACTGGAATTGCAGAAATGCAATTAGGAAAACTCTGGTACTCATAACAGAAAAGGTCAGCAATGTGCAAGCTAAACCTGATAACATGCCTAATGTGCTGCCAAACATAACAGAATGCCTTCCTGATAATGAATGATTTTACAGACTGCCATGAAGTTGTTGCAAGATAATCAGATCAACAGGGGGCATGCCACTATGCGAAAGACACATCGGAGATCGGGAAATATTCTTTGATAGAGGTATATTGCAAAGTCACCACTGATGGAAAAATCTACCATTATTAAAAGCCATGTTTCAGAAATAGTCACATAAATAAATTGGGCAGACAACACAAATGACAGAAGTTTCAACATCTGGTAAGCGCAGAAGCCATTACCTTATCAAAAGCAGTGCACTTCGTGCCTGCAGCCAACAACCAGTAGAACACCACCTCCAGGATATAAAAGACATTTTTTTTCTTTTTCTTTTCTTACAGTAATGAATGTAAGTAGAGGTTAGAGGGTTTAGTTTTTCTGTTTGTCTTTAATACAGAAATACTCACGCAGCAGTACAGGCTCTGTGTTCCTCATGCAAAGACCTCCTCCTTACTTGGGCCACTAATCCTACATAAACTAATAGTGAACTTTAAGAAAAATGAAAAGTAATCTAAGGGGTTCTTTTGATAAATGACATTTCATCAACAGTGCCAAAAATAGCTAATTACTGAAAGCTGAAAGTAGCACTTATTAAGTTTTCTGCCAAATACCTAACGGCAGGTTAAACCTTTAGTGAAAAATGTTTTTGAGACCTTACAAACACCAAAACCATATACATTTGTTATATCTGAATTCATCATAAGCAAATAAAACCTATATAGTTTGCATGTCTATTTACAGACTATAATTTGTATTAGATTGTTTGATTTTATTTTGTCCTAGTTCTAAGAAGTGGCAATTTTTTTAAAGCTAGAGGAAAAAAAAGTACTGTCATGAACTACAGTGGAGATTTCGTCTCTATATTCACTTAGGTTAAAATTCAAATTACAGAACTCATAATCTTCCAGAAATTATCACATATATATCTGTGATAAGAGAACATTATGTTTTGAGACTGCTACATCCATATTGTAAAGCTGTATTAAAGGCAAATGCTAACTTAGTATTATAGTTTCTCCTGAAGTTACCTGAGTTACATCAATCTATTTCATGATCAATGTAAACGACAGCTATTCTTTTCATGTGACACATATTGTTGCCTGATTAATTCAGGAAAACAAATAAACTGTAATTTAGTGTGAACCTTCCTGTTTTTTGATTTTATTGGAAGAATTATCATGAATTTAGGACATGACATTTTTCTGAGGATTGACTGTAACGATAGGCCAGGTGATGATCAGCTAACTTGTATAAGCTGAATTTTCTCAGTAGCAGACTATAACTCATGTGAAGAAATGTGTCCGATGTCCTGTCTTTGGTGGTCTGTAAAAAACTAAACAAAAAACCTGAAGCACCCATCTGTCTGGTATTTCCATATTTCCCTTCATATATGCTTTTGTAGCCAGCTTTATCTGAACAGCATGTGCCTGAGGCAAGTTTTTATAAAACAGTACCAACATACTGCAAAACATTTTTACAGGTGCTTACTTTGCAAAAAGTTCACAACATAAGTGAATATATTTTGTTAAAACTGTATGAAGAGAGGCGTGCCAATAAAAGGAAGTAAACACATGCCCCACAACTAGATGACAGCATCAATAAAAGTGCAATTATACTTCCAGATTTTTCTTGCTATTCTTCCGGTAATGATCGCAAGCAGCTAACTGTATTTTCTTGAAATGCTAGATATACATAACATGCACCAAAAGAACTAATGAGAACACACTCACCATGTACTATCAGGACATATTCTGTGCTGTTTCGGCCAATAGGATTTTTTGCTTCACATCGGTATGTGCCATTGTCTGTTTTGTTTAGGAAACTGATGCTTAGGACCCTGCCGTTGACAACCATTCTCTCTGGATCTGGTAGTTCTCCACCATCCTTTGTCCACAGAACTGGTTCTGGCCTGTTGGATCCAAAGCAATGCAATTAATCAGATACATGAAGCATGTACATGCAACATATACATCAGAAACAGTAGCAGCGGAAACTTATGAATAGTAACCTGCCTTCAAAGACTATTCAATGATCATTTGAGTTACTGGATATAATGAACTGTCACTATTACAAACTACTAAAGAAAGTGAAAGAACAAGCAGGGAAAAGAAGAGAAACAAAAAAGGAAACAGAATGGCACTGGAACAGGCCAAAATCTTTCTTAAATTAAAAAATGGTTTCAGGGCCCACAGTTCAGCAATATGCTTGGCAAGTTAAGGGAAAACAGCTTTCCATTTGTGTGATGAGCAATATGGTCCTGTGCAGCTGACAGGCATCGGAAATCATGCAAGCAGGCTGAGGTAGGTGTAAGTGGTTTGTAAATGGATTCTGAAATTATTTAGGCCATTCATATTCACAAGTGCACTTGCATGCGCTGATTGTTTTTCCTGAACCAGGCACATCAGTCTCAAAGTAGCACATCTTAACACACAATGTAAATTTGTTTCTGCTGCTGCACTGTGTCACAGCCCATCCCTTTTTCCACCCTTTCTGCATCCTTCCCTCAAATAATTGCTTGTTACACGTTATCACAAGCAATACAGGATTTGACCTGAAATCCTGGATTTCCTTCTTGTGTGAAACCTTCCCTCTTGTGCCTCGTGAACTTGCATCAAACAGGCCAAAGGCAAAGCACTGACAGCAATAACCCCCTGGGCAAGTTATGAGCACCGCAGAGAAGGGAACTGACCGTCTTGCAGATCCACATTTACCTTCCAACTGGCAAGCGATACCTAACTCTTTCCTAAAGACCTCAAGAAGCTCCACAGTTCATGAGATTTGCCTAACAGACAGCAGGATGCATTTAGTACTGATACGCAGTCTTTACTTACATGTAACACGATCTACTTTCAAATTTACATGAGGGAAATCACCAAAAAGACAGGTCCGTGACAGGAATGAAAAGTTGGCTCACTGAATCTTGACTATCTCACAAACAGACAGAGCATCTCAGGTCCTTAGATACTAGTCACTAAAGCAAGGTATATACAGCCTGGGGATTCATTACTTGTATCTGGTGGCTTTGTACACTATAATCCAAATCTCAATCCCTTTCTTTTGGGTACACTACTTAAGTAATTTCAGTCAGAAGCAGTTCTAGATTTGCACATATATTTGGTAGGAGAATGTTACATTGTATTTTCCTATTGAAGTAGGCAGCTGTATGACTAAGTAATAAAACAAAATATAAAGCACTGTTATAAAATCAGCAGATGCCAAATTAGTCGCTAGTTTTACTCAAGAAATACTTAATTTCATTCTTTTAAGCAGGTGCATAAAGCTTATTAAACTTAACGAGTGTTAAGAATAAGAGTTAAACCTAAACATCTAAGGAGAGACATTTTGCCAAAATGTGGCCTCATGCACAGAAAAATAGCCCTAATGACTGCAATGACATGATTTTCTTTTAAGGTAGGCAAGACATGTAAACAAAGTGATTTTTTCAGAAATGCACTTACTGCTATACAATTTATATTACTTTTTAAAGTAAAAATAATATAAGTTATGTTTTTCTTGAAAAATAACAGATATTTATACACATTTTTGTAATATTTGGATGACACCTTGTTAAATCATTGTTGAACCCGTCACCTAGATTGGCTGTTCTCTGTAGCTATGATTTTTTTTAGCAAATCAGGTACTCAGGGAATAAAACAAGATTCACATGATTTTAAACCAAGGATTAAGAACTGTCGGTGTAATGGGCCTTATTTATACCTTACCATAAATATGTCTTAATACTCTTCCTAAGTGCACTTTCAGGAACCGGTATCTAAATACACATGGCACACAATATACACAGTTCCTTTCTGCTTAATGCGAGCAGGGAATCTAGATGTCCATGCTGTTGTGGAAACATTGCCCTACAGAGTTCATAGCATTACGGTGCAATTTGCTTTGATATGTTAAGGTGGATTTGTTCAATTTTCTAGAAGACTCCTCATTGTTCCCCATTTACCAGCTTACTGTGAATCTGTAATCCCAGGAGTGAAAACTCTGAAACACTTCTGCTACAGTGTGCACCATTACCTTCATAAATGGCATGTTAAAGCAACTTCTGTGCAGCAGTAATTTATGGAACTTACGTTTTAAATTGAAATTAGATGGCATATCCTAGGGGAAAATCCATAGGATAACAAATAAGTGTGAAATGGAGCCTTAGATATAAATTATTCAGAAAGCTTTGTCACATTGTAATATACCAACTCTGGTCTTATACAGAGTGCTTAGCTATGGCTGTAAAATGATGGTGGCAGAAAAAATCACAGCTTAGAGAGAGGCAGATCTGCATACTCTGGGTGTTGGGGAAGCTGCTAATTAACAGTTAATATCAAGCCATCTTGTGCTGGCTTTAGTGGCAGCAGCAGAGCAATTCCTGGGCAACCAGCCCACGGTCAACACATCATGGTGGCCGGGCACAGCTCTTACTCCATCTCGCTGCTCTCAGGGAGGATGGTGCCTAAAGCAGCAATTCTGTCACAGCCACAAAATTAAATTTTGCCTGCACTGCTGTGAAGCTTTGAGACACTCTGGTCTAAACAATTCATTAGTTAGGCAGAAGCAAGCTAAGAACATGAGACATGCTCACGCATCCAGACCAGCATGCTGCTGCGGTCAGTGACAAGGCAAGCAGCTGTTTAAGGGAAGGATGTGAGTGTGACCATTTTCTGTGGTCTGTTCCCCCTGTACTCTGCGAGCATCCACAATCATTCTGTTGGGCATGTTGGAGGGCACATGTCTTGTTCTCTTTTGTATCTACTTAGTATTTAGTCCTGTTGCCTATGAATATCTCTAATATCTTTTTGAAACTACTTATACTGTCTGTCAACCAAGCCTCCTGTGGCAATGAACTCTGGAAGTTCCCTACCCGCTGTGCAAAAACGTATTTACTTTTATCTGTCTTACACTGATCTCCTAGCAGTGGCAATGAATATTGCAGGATATGGTAAGTAATGCTTCTGCATATTATAACCTTGTTATAAGGTACAATAGCCTTGTACTTAGTAGGCCTCTCTCTCTCCCTCTTTCTCTGTTTGCTTGAATTTGATACCTTCTGAGATTACTGTTGGGGGAAAAAAAAAATCCCAAGAAAAAAAGGTACAGGAACCATAAATTTAGAGCATATTGGTTATTCCTTGATAATTGCTTTAGTACCTTCATTGTTCAAAGCACAAATGCAGCTGAAACACTGATGGGGAAGCTTTCTTTCCGTGACACAAGGCATAGAAAAGTGTGAATTCCCCATAGTTTATCCTATTGAAACATATTCATGGGTGTAATCTAGACAGGGGTTCTTTCTCTTACCCAAAATTTTGAAAGGGTTCTGGCTCAACTGGGGGATATTTAGGTTTGACATTCTAAAATACCCAGCAAATAAGTACACTCCTAATATTGCACATTTTTCTCCATTGCATACATCTCCAATAACACAGAATTTCAGCTTTTCTTCACATACTAAAGAGTTGCCATAACGCTACCTATTACTGTGTGGACTGGAACAGGGTACCCCTGTGCCTTGCATTTGTGCTTACTTCAAGTTGAATCACACTTACCAGTTTTTCTCAGACAATCCTGAAAACATCTTCCTTGAAGCACAGTAGCTATAAAGTCAGAATGAGCCCTGTGGCCACTAATGCAATTACATGTTACTATGTTCACACATTTCATGGCGCAAACAAGTTTGCTGGCCAGCTCAGTCCTAACACGAGCATGCAGCCTGCTAGTACCAATGCAGTCACCCAAAGAACAAGTCCATCCTCCCTTTTTTTGCCATCTTGGGTGAGAAGTGCTTTTCTATATCCCTGTTTTAATCCCTCCCATGTGGATGCAGTTAAGTGGAAATGAGCTGTGCTACCACTGAGACACTTCATTGGGTTGAGGGAAGTAGCAGAGCTGAAGCACCAAGATGATATTTTCTTCCCCAAAACACAGCTCTGCTTCTGGCTTACCTATTCTAATTTGCTACCAGTGTGACCAAACCAACAAATAAATTAAGCAAGCTGTACAGAAGAAATTATTTCAATGACACAGCTCAGCTGTGACAGCCCATGCTATTTCTTTGGCTGGTATGTATTGCTTTTACCGATTTTGCTTTGCACACACCTGCCCACAGCGGTGGTATCAGGACTGTGTTAAACTGAAAGAAGCCAGAGATACCAACTGCAAGCATTACATCCTGCACTACGACCAATGACTTCTCTGCCAGACCCCCAAAAGAAATTTGAACTCTACTCTCTCTAAAGAACTGCTAAATGGTCTTAGAATTGCTAAATGGTATAATTTATGTTTAATTCTAGTAGAAAGGCCCAGAAGCTTTCAGTAATTGATTTGCAAGAGGGAACTGGTTTTTTTGTACAAAAAAAAATTATTTTGTTAACTGTCTTCATGCCTCAAAACTTGACATAAAAAGCATCAGAATTTGGTATTCATTCCCAGACAAGCTGAAAAGGGACAGCAATGAGGACACACAAACAAACAAAAAAAAAAGTATCATGTTCCGGGATGATTCATGTTTTATACTGTGGAACAGGAGCTTTCTTGCAAGTAACTTAACAAAGAATTTGTAAATAAAGCAAAATTATTTTCTAATCCTGAGGCTAAGAAACCTTTTCTTCCAAAATAAGTCAACAAGGAAGCTAAGGGAGAACTAGAATGTGTTGGGGAAAAAAAAAAAAAGTTTTAAAAACCAGTCAGATTTGATTAGAAAAGAACACTTGGGCACAGACTTACCTTTTCAACAAGTATTTATGTAACATGAAAGTCAACAGTTTCCAGTCCACATCAATATTTTTTATAATCTAGGCTTTTAAAAGTGACACAGTAGCATTTTAAAACAAGTTCGTTAATTTTCCATCCCTCTCTCCATCCTTAACCAAAGGACTGTGATGTTTCAGTGCTTTTCTATAATCC